GTTATAGCTAAGATGGTTTTAAAGCAAATGGCTTTAAATAATGAATGCTAAATATAGCATTCTATTTTGGGACATTATGGCTTAAAATGCTATTTATTTTAAATTCACAAATAAACACAGTTGTCTTGTTCTGAAAAGCAATGAAAGGCATGCACCTCTACTAGCAAATTTAGCACTTTTGACCAAGTAAGACATCAACTTCTTAAAAAATATGCTTCATGCACTGTACTGAATTTTTTTTTAAGATGTAGATTTTAATACATCATTTCTTTTTTGAACTTGAACGGGAACCAGAATGAGATGATCCAGAAGATGACCTGTGGTGCCTGCAAGACATAATGAAGTATGCAAAATAGTAAGGTAGTGCTGGATTTCTATGGTCATTTCTAAGACTCTAGAATAGAAAAAACAAACAATTTGAGGTTGGCAAATGGAGTAATTAAAAACTGTGATTGAGACTTAGACACACAAAATCCGATGTTCAGACTTCAAAGGGATCCCAGTAAAGGTATGAGCATAATTTAAATTTCAGTATATTGTTCTCATTTTAAAATATAGCCACCTCTGTATTATTTAAGCTAATTAAGGAGAAAACCCTGCAAAAGTATTTAAATATTACAAGTATTGTACTACACAGGCATATAAACTTGAAAATGGAAGTACAATTAACTCAATCTCTGCAATACATTGTAGAAAATGTGATTAAGTCTGTTTGTAAAATAGACACACAGCAAGGTTTCTGTGTATGACAAAATATATTCCTAGATAATTAAGATGTGAAAAATCTAGGTCACATAAGATGACTGTACAATTAGTTAAAGGGCTATATTCATGCAGCTAATATGAGGAAGTGAATATCAACCTGGGTAAAGTAGTGGTGTTCCGTAGGGGTTGGCCCTGGGTTCAGGGTTGTTTAGTGTTTTCACCAATCACCTGGCTTATGGAATAGAGAACATGTTCATTAAGTTTAGATGACAACAAACTGGAGGGGATTATATGTGGCTAAGATAAAAATTTGCTGCAGTCATAAGACAACAACAGAATGTTTACTCAAGTACGGAGTAATTTTCTAAGAAGGAAAAAATATCCACAAAAACAAGAGCTGTGTGTATCTTACTAGTTTAAGTTTCTAAATGGAACGTAGGGAGAAAAAACAACTTCTGTCCAAGCACACACCATCAAGGACTCTGGCCAGTGATGCCGCAAATCACTTTTATCTAGTCCTTGTTTACACAAACAAAATCGATACAAAGTCTGTAAAAATCATGATGACATAATTCAAATATTAGACATAGAGAGCTATGATAGTTTTATTAGCCCATGACAGAGAGCTGACTATTGCATTCTGAGATTTAAAAATACCAATGTATATAAAAATATCCAGTAAGTCTTTATTCAAAAAGTAAATTTGGACTGCAAGATGAAGAATCTATAAAAAGAATGTTTCCTTATAGAAAAAGGGTATTAAATGATGCTGTAGAAATTTATTTACACATAAATGAGCATAAATTCCCAATGCTGAATATTTTCACGTCCTGAAATTCCTAATTTCTAACTACCTTTAAAAAAAACATAAATTTACATATAAAAGTCATCCTCTAAATTACTTTAGTACATATTTTCTGCATTAAAATCTTAGAAGAAATAATCAAGGGTTGGCTATAGTAATTTTATATGGAAATGAGGACTGAAGAAAAATTATCATAGTCTAGGAGACTGGTGTGATTTAGAATTTTTCTAAACAATCTGATTAAAACAAACAGTATAACATAGTAATTAGTAGTCTTGTTTTTAAGACAAAGATCAAAAGTACATTTTTAGAGTTGGAACCAAGAAAAGAACAAAAATCGAACCCTTGACTAGAAAGTATAGCTAATCTACTAACCACACTTAAGAACACCCATTCTTATTTCTACAGAAACCCAAACCTTTCGGGTGACCGTGATCTTGTTCGTCTTTTTTTGCGATCACCAGAAGAAGATGATCTAGAGCGACTTCTCTTCCTGTTCCTCTCAGGAGAAGATGATGAACTTGAATAAGATCTTTTTCTTGGGGAAGAAGAGCCCCTGTGGGACCTGGAGCTGGATCTTCATTGATTAAGAAACAAATCAAATATTTCATTAAATAAAGAAATGAGGCAGATTGTTCAGCTTATCAGCTTCAAAAATATTGATAGATCCAAAAATATTGAAACAGGATTTATGAAAACTATGAAAAAATTTTATGTAGTACTTACTGCTTAGTCAACAGAAGACTTCTGGTTGAGCCATCAAACACTACTTACGTAAAATTATTTTAATTTTAAATCTTTAAAAATTCTAAGTATTTTCATGTGTAATTAAAAACCAGTTGAGTGGCTTAAAATAGAACTTAAAGATTAAAAAAAATAATTAAGGCCGTTAATTTAAAATTATATACAGATGGAAAAATCAAGACTTAGTGTTTAGAAAATGCATTCTTCCACTTTCAGGAAAAAAAAGCATTTATCGAAACACATAACTTCTTAAGGATTATAAGAATAGGTCCATGTAAAAATTATGCAACTCATTATTTGTTGCTATAGAAAAAGCAGTGAGGGGGGGCTAAGAGAAAGAACAATTAGCTCAACTAAATTACAAAATACTCAAGGAAACACAAAATGAGTTTAAAATTTATGTTTATATTACTTTTATGAAGGACCACTATTCATGTAACATGAAGTGTTGATATTCAGGTTTCACACAGAAATAAATGTGTAAACATTAAGATACAAAAAAATTCTTTATTTATATATTTGGTTGAAGGATTTTAGCTCAAACTTCCCAAAAAATTCACCTTTGGGCTTAAAATAACATCAGAAAGCCCAAAAGGAGAATTCTTTGGAAAGTTATAAGCAATGAAAAAATGTTTGGGAAGAGTATGAAGTCTCTCCTGTAAACTTTAATTAGTGTATCCCAAAAGGATTAATACTAGAGCTTAAGGACTTTAGTCTAAAAAGCAGTAAAATGACTAAAACATTGATAACATACCAGTAAAAACAGCCTTTCTTGCATTAGCTTAATTAAAGCATGCATATCATTCCTCTCTTCTTAATACTGTTTTAGTTTCAACTGTCCTCTAATGCTAGATTTGGCTTTAATAGCCAGTGTTATGGACTGAATTATGTGCTATAAATCATACCCTTAGATAGCCCATGGTTGTACCTCCATTTTGGAATGGGCTGCCTTTGATGGGCTGACAGAGAAACAGTGTAGGATACTGATTAAGTCAGCTCTTCTTGAGATAGAAGAGACATAACAAGCAAGCAATGGAAGCTGAAATGGGAGATGCCAAACCACATGAAAACCACAGAGCAGACATTCAGAAGACACATGAACCCTTTTCCAGAGCTGAGTGAGAAAGAAAGTTGGCACTCTAAATTCAGACATCCTAAAAGGTGAGAAACTTGTTAAAGTCATCTACTTCTGGTATTTGTTAACACAAAGGGAAAGTAGTTTTTGGACTGGGTAAAGGGTAAAGGCTGGTAGACTGTTAATGTGTGAAATAGCAAAAGCCTAGATTGCTCTGAAGAAGCTGTTGGTAAAATTCTGGACAGTAAAGGCAATTTTGGTAAGGTCTCAGAAGAACATTACAGCTTCAGACAAAGTCTGTTTCTTACGGAACACATATTGCATCAGCAAAAGAATGCTGCTAAAAATATGGATCTTAAATATGCTGCAGGTGAGGCTTAAAATGATGAAAATGTGAAGACAATGTAAGAAAAGCAATGTTTTTTATGAGTGGCAAATAACTTGTTTGAATTAAGTTCAAATGTTTGGTGTCAAGTTAGAACTTATAAATGATGAACTTGGATAACTGGCTGATGAGATTTCTAAGCATGATCTTAAAGGGGTCCCATGGTTTCTCACCAACAAAAGTAAAATGCAAGTGGAAAAGAGATGGGACTTTAAAATTGAATTCTGCAAACTTTTATCAATGTGCTTTAAAGAGTGAATTATGCTTTTTAAAGGGGTGAATTCTATGTCAATACCTGAAGTTTCTCAATATCTCAATAAAGTTGCTATTTAAAAAAAAGAAAGTTAAATATTGTTTTATGGTGGGAGAGAGTGATTACATCTATTAGTAGGTATAAATAGTTCTGTGATAGATGGAGACTTATTTAGCTCCACACAGAAACAGCTACTGCTATCAATTTGACTCACAGAAACTCTATGTAGGGTTCCCAGTCTCTGCGGAAGAAGATAACCTTTCTCCTGTGAAGCAGCAGGTGGGTATGAACTGATGGCATTTGATTAGCAGTCCACCTCTTAACAAAGTGTCTCCCAAAGTGGGCGATACCACCCTGAGGGTTGCTGGAACATCCAAAGATCTCGGACTAAAGCATTTATTTTTAATTGCTGAATTGGGGGTGGCTTGGGGCGGCCCTTCAAAGAAGTAATTTTTTTTTTCCTGGAAAGGAGGTTAACAGGCCAATTAAGTTTGGGAACCTATAAACTAGAATACTCAATAATGAAACAGGTGATATGGAAGAGCAAAGAGTTTTGGTCAACAACCCTTCAAAATAGGCTCTTTAAGACTTTGGGCTTAGGGACTAGATAACGTCATTTGTAATTTCATGTGTCTTATCAATTGTTAGTAATGAAAGCCTATTCATTTGCCACCCAGTTTCCATGCCTCAAATTGTATTTGTGTTTACAATTACATTGTAGTAAGCCATCCATATTCCTCTAATTGCCACTGCAAACGTAAAGGAGCCCTTGTGGCACAGTGGTTAAACAGACGGTCAGTAACTCTTTATGGGTCAGCAGGTGGGTTTAAACTACTAAGCCTCTGGCCGGCCTGCTCCCTTCGAGAGGTTGCAGTCTTGGAAAACCTATCGGGCAGTTCTCCTTTATCTCATATGGCCATTTTGTATGAGCTGGAATCAACTAGACAGCAGCGGGTTATTAAAGAAAAAAATTAAAGAGATTAAATAAGAAGTCAAGCTAAATGAGGCCAAATTGCATCTCAGTATATATTGAATGAAGGCTATGGAGTAAACAGGAACAAAGATCCTTCTAATACTCAGTACACTTATGTTATTTCCATTAATTTAGTTTCAGCAAAGTATCATCACATAAATTTATAGCAATTAGAATGTGTTGTATTGCATGTTAATTAGAATACAAATGATACATCTGGGGTTTATAGTTTACACCAAATTAATGTTTGCACCACTTAGCATTTATACGAAATTGAATAAAAAAAAAGTGTAGTGAATCTGCCTCCACCAAACCCAAAGGAAGGAATGTACAAATAGGTAACTTGTATTTTAGGTTTCACATGACTAATTTTACCCCAGGAAAACAACACTTATTAAAGCCCCATCATATTTGATTTAGACGATTCAGAAAATGAGATTTTGAATTTTTAGGTTTAAGACTTTTGGGATAATATAATGGGGTGAATGGTTTGCCATCTGTGACGTGAATTTTAGGGGTTTGAAGAGAGAAATATCATGGATTGAATTGTGCCCTCAAAAAAAAGTGTATTGTAAAACCTAACATAACATGCCTGTGGTAATAACCCCATTTGGGACTGAACTGTCTTTATTATATTACCAAAAAAAGGATTAGTGTAGGGTATTTAAGTCTTTTTAAAACTGAGAGATTTAATAACAGAGTTTAAGGAATAGAAAAAATTCAGAGATGAGCAGTGCCAAGCCACAACAGAGTGCCTAGGAGCAAAAAGGACCTTCCCTGTGGTGTAGAAGTGTTAAGAGAAAGCCTTTCATTAGAGAAAGCACTCTGAACTTGGATTGCTATCCCGCTAAACGCTAAGAAAACAAATTTGTTTGGTATAGTCATCCACCTGGTATTTATGTTATGTAGCACTAGATTGCTAACAAACAACTATTTTTACTCAGACCCTAATAACTTTCAGTGTGAATTTCCACAATTGGAATTTTAATAGTGCTGTTCATCTTAAATGTCTTCAGTACAACATCAATAAATCAACTTAGAGGCAGTTTTCAGGAAAATGTCAAGAGACGAAAATCTAGTATTTCATTTTCTTCTTTACAAACAAAGTTTCCATCCACAGGTATAAGGAACCTGCTAGCTCAATGGCTGAGCACACGGCTGCTCTTCCAAAGGTTGGTAGTTTGAATTCAGTCACTACTTCTTGGGACCAAGGAGCTGGTAATGTGCTAGTCTTAAGTGTTCAGCCTAAACCACCCTATAGGGAAGGTCTACTGTTATTAAGATCAGTGAGTGAAAATTATAGATCTAACTAAATGCAAACAAAAAGTTTGCAATAATGCATATTTAAGACATCCTTCACTAGACTAGCCATCTGGAGATTTTAAGAATGTCTGTTCAATCTACACTGTTCACTATATTCTGCGTAAAATTGTGTACGCAGTCCTCTCTCAGAAGTTTCACTGGATATAAATGGCAAAGTTGTTTCTAAAATGAGTGAAACAACTGCCTTATAAAAAAAGCACTGATTTTGAGGCAGTCTTTTTTCCTTTTAATAACACAGCAAACTTCTTAAAACTTGCTTATGTAATTTCAACTATCATTGCCAACACTAGAGGTTTGGGGTAAGATATCTGACTTTCTACTTCATCATATCTTACCTCTATAGAGGAAAACAATAGACTGCATAATCTAAAATAAACACCATAATACAATCACGGGAATGTCTTGGAACACTGCTGGCAATGGCCACATTTCCACAGTGACAACATTAAGCTGAGGCAGGTGCATTAGTTATCTAATGCTAAAATAAAATTGACAACTAGAAGCAAAATAAGAGGGTGGAAAAAGCAGCAACATCTTCTGCAGCCTTTATATACTTTTCTCTCTGCTTTACAGAGAGATGCTACCTCATTCACCTTGATTTCGACCCACGAGATCTCGAATGTTCTCGGGAACTGGAACGAGATCTTGACTGCGAACTGGAAGAACTTCTTGAACGGGACCTGGAACAACATGGAAGGATTTTTTTTTTTCCCCCAGGACCATTAATTCAGCTTTGTGATACGAACACTGAAAGAGAGATATGCGTTAAAGTTCATTATTGTATGAAAGATTACTATGTAAAATATGTATTCTGAAAAGGCCGTATTTAAACGTAATTTTTTTTCGTTTACATATGCTAGAATTTAAAGTAATTAAAAAATAAGTTTACTGTCTATAATTTATTAGATTATGCTAAGTAGTACGCAAGATAATTCAGAATACAAAAACATTCAACACTATCGTTTTAGAAGAACATGGAACATTTCTGTTCACACTAAATAAAAATTACTCTGGACTAATACATCCAGAAAAATAAAAAAGGTTGCAATTTACGTTTATCTTCTCTGAAGCATCTTAATCAATTTTCCTCCTAAACCAGTTCTACTCTTAGTTTCCTGCTGGCATAAAGCTCTAAATGTTGGATAAAGGAAGATGTGATTCATTTGTATTCTAAAAATTAAAAATGACGTAAATTTCATTTATTAATTTTTAAAGAGCATAATTTTAAAATGTAAAATGATTATATATTTACCTTAAAATATTATCTTTATTCAATGAATAATCACCTTAAGAAATATTGATCACGCTATTGAGTACACTCAACAATTATCAGTTAGCTGGTCATTTCTTGCCTAAATATCATGAACATTCACTACCAATATATAATTCAACTATGACTGGGGCTTCTTCAAATGAACATTGTATATTTAAGGTGCTGCTCTTCCAATCTAAAATTTTACTTGTATTGTTGACTATGGCATCAACAATATTGTAGGTCATCTTAAAATAAGACAAGTTAGTTTAACAGAACTAGTATGGCTGAATTTGCTCTTTAAGAATACTGATGCCTAATAAAAGAATAATTTTATTAATGCTTCTAAAAGTTCAGTATTGGCCTTTAGTATTAGTGAAAAGATAAATCTTCCCTCTAAGATTACTAAATGTAAACAATCTTATTTAGAATACATTTAACGTCTATTTTAATAAAAAGCACTGTGCTAGCATGGGCTAAGAATTTTTATATTAAAAATCTCCATCTCTAAAATACTGAACAATAACACCAGGAAGATTAAAAAAAAAAAATCTTTTAAACGGTGACTTGAATGAAATCTTCAAAATAAAAATAAAACTTATTGTCAAGAAAAAAATTGATAAAGAAGTTAGATACTGACATTTTGACTGGTGTTACCCTTGACCTGTACCCGTTTACCTGGACCTAGACCTTGAACTTGAGGGGGAGGATGAGCGTGATGAAGATCGTGAATGTGAAGATCGAGATTTTGAGCGACTTCGTCTATTGGATTTCTTTTTATTACTATCTTCTTCTTCACTGGCATCAAGATTATATTTTGACAGATCAGCATCATCTTCATCCTCATCCTAACAAAAATTCAGTCCATTATATTTAGACATTTTTATTGTAGCTAGGTACCAAGACTAAATGTGAGTAGAAATCTCTATATGAAAAAAATCACCAATACCCAAATTTATCAAGAATTTTCATTTCTACCCCTCCTTTCAAAGTTCTTGAACCTATGTCCGTTAAGTCTGATGATTCATGACATTTGCTATATCTTCTATTACAGTAACCTCCAGAGTAAATTCTACCCTGTCCTACAGGGCTACTATGAGTTGGCATCAACTAAATGGCAATGGATTTAGTTTTTGAGTTTTCCTAAGTTCTAATTCTAAAAATCTATTCTGCCTCTCTGATCTCTAATAGTGTCTCTGTCATTACTCTGAAACACACATTAAATAAAACATCCACGTATTTATTTTTAAAAATCTTGTTTTAAAATCGTTTCAATTGCATTGAGACCTCTAATATCCCAAAGTACTCTAAATCTAAACATACATATCCTGTCATAAAAAAACACAATCTGGCCCTAAAGAACACCCCAAAGTTTACTCACATAGGCGCCCTCCTCTTAAGACCTCCTATGTACTCCAACCACTGAACTACATCCAATTTCTTGAATATTGGTGACCTATTCTCTTCTTTAGGTTGCTGTCAAGTTGATACTACATTGTTGATGATGCCACATGCCATAAGTACAACTATGCTCCACCTTTTTGGAAATACATCACCAGGCCTCTCTTTTAAGGCATCTCTGGTTGGACTCAAACTTTCAAACTTCTGGTGAGCAGTGAAAATGGCTACTATCATCCAGAACTCCATTCTCTAGTTTGTCCACCAATACCAAAGTATCATTTCCGTATTTTTCCTATTTAAATTACCATGCTACTATATGCCTCTTCCTTTAGAACTTAAGTTCTTAAGAAAACATGGATTATTTATGTCTCAGTCACAATTTATTTCATACCTGTATCTATACTTGACACAGAGTGAGAGGTCCATGGCATCTTACGGCAACATAGCAAAAGCATTCTATAAATTTATACTAATTCAAAGAAAAAAGGGAACAGAGCACGGACATTATTTACCTCATCTAATTTATATTTAGAAAGATCTTCATCCTCATCCTCTTCTTCTCCCTCAGATTCTTTATCTTCAACTTCCTTTAAAATAGATGCAGGACCAACAGCCTTTCCTCTGTATTTTTTCTTTTTACGTCCAAACTATGGGAAAAGTATCATAGTATTTTTATTAGAAAATATTTTCTCAAGAAGTCATGTAAATCAATGATAAAAGGGTAAACTGCTGTACAAGATTAAAATTGGCTTGTCTCCTCCCCGCTGCTCTTCTGTAGGGGATCTCCAATTGCCTACTGATGGGCTTTGGGTCTCCACTACACACTCCCCCCTCATTCACAATGACATGATTTTTAGTTCTAGCACCGATGAAATGTACAACTTTCCTCTAGTTCTTTAATGCTCCCCCGCCCCCACTACGATGACCCCAATTCTACCTTACAAATCTGGCTAGACTAAAGCATGTTAATGGGTACTGGTAACAGCTGGAAATGTGGGGAATCCTGGTCAGATAAACCCCTCAGCACCAATATTGAGAGCAGCAATACCAGGAGGGGAAGAGGGAGGCAAGGGGACGAAGGGGGAACTGATCACAATGATCTACATATAACCCCCTCTGAAGGGGATGGACAACAGAAAAGTGGGTGAAGGGAGATGTGGGTCAGTGTAAGATATGAAAAAATTATTTATAAATTATCAAGGGTTCGTGAGGGAGAGAAAAAATGAGGAGCTGTTAACAAGGGCTCAAGTACAAAGAAAATGTTTTGAAAATGACGATGGCAACAAATGTACAAATGTGCTTGACACAACGGATGCATGGATTGTGATGAGTTGTACGAGCTCCCAATAACATAATTTAAAAAAAAAGACTAAAATATACTTACAAAATTAAGATACATTTAAAACTATTTTTGGCACTCATTAGTTTTTCCAATTAGTATATAACTCGAACAATAATATATAGCTTACCTCATCATATTCACCATCAGATTCTTCTCTTTCTATATACTCAACATTTTCTCTTTCATTAAAACCTCCACCATAGCCTAAAAAAGATGGCTAAATTGTTACTCTATAACAATTTATTTAAACAAAAAAATTATCACCAGTCTTCTAGGAAAGATGGAAATTAAGCAAAAATCTTACCAATGACAGTTGAATAGCATTTAATAAATTACTTGTGTTTAAGCTAAGGTGACCAGACACCCAGCTTTTGGCGGGACAGTCCCGATTTTTAACAATTTTTCCTGCCTCCCGTGGCGTTTTTAAAAAGTCTCGATTTTTGGAAAGGATGCACAAGCTAGGGTATGCTTTCGGCTGCCATGTGGCTATTTCGCCAGGATATGAGTTTTATCAATGGTGTCCTGCTTTACCAATGTTAAAATCTGGTCACCTTAGTTTAAGCATACATATAAAATCATACAGTTAAATAGCTATATCAATTAACTAGAAAAGTCCTGTGATTTTGTAGCTCTTCTCCATTTTGAAAATGGTCACTGTGCTTCCATAAAGAAGAAATATCGCTTACTACCTCTTTGAGCTCCATGTGGCCACTGCAACACATTTTCAAACCCATCAGAGAAGTACTTCGAGTAAAATGGGAGGGACAGATGTTGTCAGAATTGGTAAACAAAGTTGGAGGGAGGAAGCATGCTTGGCTTCTGCCTCACAAGAATTGCCCTTAAGTCAGAGGAAGTTAGATGCCATCCTACTCCTTTTTTACCTAAGTCTAGGTTAAACGGAGACTGAATGAGAAACCAGTATTAGATTACATGAGGTATGAGCACTTGAGTGGTATAATAAGAACTGAAGTATATAGATGTGGATGGGCTAACTGCTGACAGTGGGAAATGCAACTAAATTGTATTAAATATATTCATCTTACCACTGCTAACACACTCAGCCAAAGGTAAACTACTTTTTAAGCCAATAGTTTCCCAAAACCATCTTGAGAAACACCCTTAGCCTAAGAGATTCAGGAGCTCTATGCTTTGGAGCCTTTATTTATTTAAAAAGCAACCCAGATGATTTAAGAGCTATCAAAGTAAGAATTATTGCCTAAGTTTTAGAAGAACATTTTCAAATGTGACCCTTTACCCTATTCTACTACAATAGAATATGAAATGAATTATGATTCTTTGTGGGTGTGTGAGGTGGGGGCTGTAAGGTTATTTCGGTATTATTACTAGTATTAGTAACAAATACCAACAGAAGTGGAAGAGCAAGAGCATTGTTGCAAGTATGCAAATGTCATTATTTGCTAGGATTGGGCTACCTAACACTGTATTTTGTAAATTGAGTATGAAACTCCCTTTCCCCCGTCCCCTCGTATAGGAAAAACAATTTTGTGTGAAAAATGTAAGGCTAGATAGAATTTTTGTCTTTTAAGCTTACAAGAAAGATGTAATAGCTCAATATTTAAGTTCATTATAATTGTTTTCTTAAAGTAAGACTGAATCTTACCTGTTCTTTCTTCTAACTTAGCATATTTTGGAGTATTACACATATTACATTCTGATCTTCTGGCCCAATTCACATTACTGCAACTTCAGAGGATAAAAATATCAAATTAATAAACTACAGTAAGAAATAAAATGTTACATTCTGAAATTTAAGAAAAATTAAAAATAAAAATTCCCAAGGTGAATTCATAAGGAGGTGTTATGACACAAGTCAAACATGCAGCTAATGATAAAGCTGGCAATTCAAACCCGCCCAGCAGCTGTGGGAAAAAGAGCTGGCAATCTTTTCAACTATTTAGAAAACCCTATGCAGCAATCCAACTCTGTCATATAAAGGCATTATGAGTCTAAATCATTACCATTACGAAATGTTTGTTTTTTGGGGGGGTGGGAGAGGAGCTGATACCAAGGACTCAAAAAGAAAAGTTAAATGTTCAGAAATGATGACAGCAAAATATGTACAAATACACATGATATAATTGGTGTATGGATTGCTATAGGAGCTATAAGAGCCCCCAATAAAATGATCTTTAAAAAATGCTTATTAAGTAGCACTGCAAGCAAAGAAAATGTACACTAATCTGGAGAATTTTGGTTGCAAAGTGGACTGAACTAATTAAATCAGAGAAGCAAAATTTATAGCTTTGAACAGGGAGTGCTCATTGTAATCTTATGGGAAAACACAAATTAGATCTATAGATTCCGATAACTTCCAACCAAACCCACTGCTGTCAAGTTGACGTCCAACTAGGTGACCCTACAAGACGAAGGACTGCTCCAGGTTTTCGATGCTGCATATCTTTAGAGTCAGACTGCTGCATCTTACTCTGCAGAGCTGCTGGTGGATTCACATCACCGACCTTTCAGTTAGCAGTCTAGCACTTAACTATTGTGCCTCTAGGTCTGCTTTCAGATACCTAAGAAGCGTTAACAACTAAGTTCATTGTTGAGTTGATTCCAACTCAATGATCCTACAGGATACCGTTACTGAGCAATCGAATCACTCCACAGGGTTTTCAAGGCTCTAATCTTTACAGAAGTCGATTGCCATCTTCATTAGTGGCTGCTGGATTTGAACTGCTGACCTTTCAGGTAGCAGCCAAGTGTGCCATCATTATGACCTTTAAATATATTTTAAAAACCTAATGAGAAATAATTTATCGCAAGTAAAATTTATAAATTTTGGAAAAGTGACGACTTTAATTTTTTGATTTCACACTGAAACCACTAGGTAAATTTGTGGGGATTTTTTTTAACAAGACAAAAAAGTAGGCCTTAGTATTTTTGGGGGTGGAGGAGCTATCAGCCTCACTTTTTAAAGCATTTGTCTACTGGCACAAATAACCTATCAAAGTAAGTAATATTACCATCTAAAATATGTAAAAAGACTTTAAAATTTAACATTAAAATCAGATACAGACTCAACGGCAAACAATAGACCTTGGATTTAAACGGTAACCTTGGTTTGACAATACAGCAATTCAAAGTAGATACTATTAACAAGTTGTAGCAGGAATGGACAATACTTTGAAACACATACGTTTTACACTGCCAATCATTAGCACTAAATAGGCCTCGGCTTTTTTCTGCAAGCGTCTTTCCTATTTCAGTGCCCCCAGCTTTCATCATCTTGGCTTCAGTTGTTTTCTCTGAAAATAAAATATAATATGAACCAGAGGGTGTAGGGGGAAACGACACTGCATGTATAATTATAATGGAATCTTCCTTTATCACTTACCTCGTCCACATCGATTACAGCTGGTTCTTCTAGCAAAATTTACGTTTCCACATCTGAAAACAAAGTAAAAGGTATTTAGAGGAACATTTTTATGTCACTAAAATATTTAATTTCATATATATATTATGTCCACACAATGTGTATGAAGTATAAAACTTCTAGCTCTACCTCAGACACAATGCTGTTAGTTACAAAAAATTTCTCACTTAATGGAAAAAATATCGAAACTCCCGTTTAGAAAACAATGCGACACGACAATCATTAACCTCCCAGAGGTCATAGGGTAATACAATGTTATTTTGCTTATATTCAGGAGACTAATGATATCTATAAAGTATTTCAGACCTTCATGAGCTGATGAGGTATGACTCAAAATGACCAGAAATAGTCATAGACGCAGCATGTATGAAGTTTGAAATCTAGGAAAATATAAGGCTGCCAAAAATGAAATGAAATGGAATGCTTAAAAGGTAGATATCCTTGGAATTAGGAAGTTGAAAGAGATTATCACTGGCCATTTAAGAATTGGATTATTACATGGACTACTATGTAGGGAATGGCAAATTAAGAGGAACAGCATCATATATATTATCAAAGAGGACATATCAAGTTCTATCCTGAAAGTCCATGCTGTCAGTGATAGGACAATATCTGTATGCCTACAAAGATGACTTACTATGACGAATCCAAATGTATTCACTAACCACTTATGTCAAAGATGATGAAATTGAAGATTTTCATCAACTGCTGTATTCTGGAATTAACGGAACACACAAAGTACTTTGATAATTTCTGGTGATAGGTTGAATTTTTATAAGTAGTTGATGACAGCCTGCTGTTTTATTTGGCTTGGAAGCAAAGATGAGGGATAGGCGTTGGAAAATAGGGCTTTGATGATAGAAATGACACAGGAGATTGTATGACAGAATTTTCCAACACCAATGACGTATTCATTGGAAAAAACTTTTTCAACACATACAACCACTATACTTGTGGACTTCTCATTGGTTGGAAATGTACAAAAATCAAGTTAACTACATCTTGGAAAAGAGATAATGAAGCAACTCAATATCCTAAGTAAGAACAAGGTCGAACAACAAAACAAGCCAAGCTACTTATATACAAACTCTAGTTGAAGTTGATGTATGTTCACACGTCTACTGAAGCCAAAGTACAACTGACTATATCCCATCTGGATTTAGAGACCATCTCAAGAATAGATTTGACACTGAACACCAATATAATGACTGAACACCAGGTGAGTTGTGGAATGACATCAAAAACATCACACACAAAGAAAGCAAAAGGTCAATAGCAGAAAGGAAGCAAATAACGGACAGAAAGGATCATCAGACGACTCTAAAGTTTGCTCTAAGTATAGAGCAGCTAACGAGACTAGAATGATGAAGTAAAAGAGCTAAATATGAAGTTTCAAAAGGAAGCTTGCAAAGACAAAACAAAGCATTATATGAAATGTGGAAAGAGAAAGTCAAATGCCAAGACCCTCAGCTTATCTCAACTGATGAAGAGTCAAGCCTCAAATTTCAACATTGAAGGATTTTATGGGCAAAGTTGTAAAAACACAGGATGTTTCTTGTAAAATGGAAGGAATATGGTGAGTCAAGATGTAGCACAAAATTATGAACCAATGGTAAAGAATGAAGATTTCTTAACTGCAATGAAAACATTGGTTAAAAAAAAAAAAGCTCTAAGATGAGATGGAATACCAATAAGATCTTCCAACAAAGGGATGTCATGCTGAAGCACTGAATGTCTATCCCAATTTGGAAGACAGCTAGCTACCTTATCAACTGACTAAAAGCAATGCCTATTTCTGCCCGTTCCAAAGAGAGGCGATTCAACAGAACACATAAAATACTGAACAATTTCATGGTGGCACTAGTACGTCAAAAGGAAACTGCCAGAAGTTCAGAGGATTCTGAGGAGAACACTGTATGGGCAATTATCATTGTTGTCTCGATGACTTTTAGCTGAAAGCAGATCACACAAGATGTTTACTTGTGTTTTATTCATTATGCTATGTAGATCATAACTAACTACGAATAAAGATTGGGAATTCCAGAACACTTTACTGTGCTCAGGTGGAAACTGTACAAAGACCAAGAGGAAAGTTGTTTTAATTAACATCCGGGATAGATGTTGTGTTTTAAAACCAAGAAAGGTGTGCATCAGGGTTGCATCCTTTCACTCTAACTATTCAATCTGTATGCTGGGCAAATACTCACCAAAGCTGGAACATATAAAGAATGAGGGATGAGGATCATTTACCTGAAATATGCAGATGACATAACCTTGCTTGCTGAAACTCCACAGGACTTGAAAAGTAACTTTGAGGAGCTAGGTGCACTTGACCTAAGCATGCTAACTATTTTCACTGGTCCATATGCATGTAAAAGCTGCACAATGAATAAGGAAGAACGAATTGATGCATTTGAATTGTGTAGTGGAGGGCCAGTAAAAAGGAGTAAGATCTTAAAAGAGGTGTTTGCAATAATGGGCTCATCAATCATAACAACTGGAAGAATGTTGCAGGACTGGGTAGTGTTCCTTCTGTTACAGACACAATTAGGAAGTGTTTGAATGGCATAATGAATGACAATGAAATTAGATGATTTAACTCCCAAATCCTATTACTACAGATTAAAAACTCAACTGATAGCAAGTCAATGCAGACTCATAGCGGAGGATAGCTCTTAATATTTCTTGCATTTCATTGCACTGCACACTCGAGTGTTTAACTTATTGGCTATAAAGGGATCATTCTAGTCTCATTTCTTAAAGTTAAAAAAAAAAACCCAAACAACCAGCACAATCATAACTGGAGAACTTCTAAGTGACAGAATTGAATAAATATTCTGGTTTCTTTGCTCCTAGTTTTCTCTTTGCTAACTAAACATTTAATGACAACTGTGATTAGTTTCTCTGAAATCAAACTTACTGCCATCCCAAATCATAGTGACAGGGTAAACTGCCCTTGTGTTTCCAAGACTAGTTTAGGAACAAAATATCAATGGCTTTTATCTGAGTACAGTCATGCTTTTTGGGGGGACATTTACTTCCCATACGGGTGTACCTATTTGTACACCCTTTAACGAAAGTTAACGATTAATAGCTCAAGCAACAAAGTCAAAAAGCAAGGCCACTAAAGCACGTGCTTTGCTGCAGGAAACCCTAAAACTGCGTAGGAAAAAACGTAGCCCTCTTTCCTTTGCGCGCTAACTAGGTGATAGGCACAGTTGTTAAGAATCTAAAGGTTACTGAGGAGAAAGAGAATGCCCCAAACCAAACAGCAAAGGTATAAAGTACGGAGAACGAATTCAATTAAAAAACATAAAAACCCAACACTAAAAATAAAAAAATATGTGAACCAAGAGAGCAAAAAGGTCGAGAGCAAGCAGCTTTCCACGAACAAAGTTCTGTTTGGGAAAGTCACGTGGGGTAGATCCAACACCGAGCGGGCCTGGACAAGGGAAGATTTCCTTATCCCTGAAATATTGGGGGAGGGAGGCTGGGGTGCCAAAGGATTAAACGATTTCCCTGTCCAGAAAGAGGAGCCACTTAGGAGAGAAAATGACGAGAAAATGCTGGCGATACAACAAAGGCTCTTGAAAGACCTCGCCGGTTATGCGATAAGGAAGCTTTTTCCAGCCTAGAATCCGGCGGTTCGCCGCCTCAACTCAGGTTAGCGTACGGGAAGAGAGAGAAACACGGAAAATGCCAATTCTACCTAATAAAATCCCCGCCCATAATTCCCGCCTCAATTCGGGACCCTCACAGACTCACTTTTTGTCAGGGCAAATCCAGTCCCCGTCACTGACTCGGAAATTCTTGGTCGACATCTTGGCCGCCGACACCACAGCCACCCGCAGCTACGTCTGCACAGGAGGAAGAGGGCCAGGGGCTTTCGCACTCCGGGGCTGACCCAGGACCGCCTGACTCCCCTTCACCCGGGCGTCGGGGTTTGATAACGGCGGTACCAAGCCAGCGTGGCGTTTTAATGTTCCTCTCTAGAATAATCGCCTGTGCTACAGTTTTAGAGACGATAATGTTGTAATACCAACGTCATTTTTAGAATTAAACTAACAGGCGCCACCTGGGCAGCCCAGGCGGGAGGCCTCCGTGGCACTCGGCGCCTAGGAGAGCCCCCTATAGGCGGGAGGACCCAAGAGAAAAGTTCTTCCGATCAGGTGGGCGGGGTTAGGTAGATGGTAGCGGAAGTGACTGTGAACAGGTCAGGAGTCCGTGGGATGTAGCGCTGCGCGCTGTGCGTTCTGGACTTATGTTTCTGGTTTCGCCAGTTTTTCACATGCCTTGTTTTGATGCCGGAGAAAAAAAATCTTTTATTATTCTCATAGAATGTAGTTTAATACATTACGTAGTATTTTACACATTACAAATAAATATGCAATACACACTTAGGAAAGGATTAGGAATTGTACAAGTAGGATAGGGCACATATTGTGGAAAATAGCTATTTTAACCAATCGCACCTCCGTAACACTCACCTGCATTGTGATTTTATTCCGTCGCTTAAATTTAGTTTATACATATGTATGTTTAATTTTACAAGCTCGAGAATTATAAGGATATTTCATGTGATCTGATTCACTTTTTCACTCACCACTGCTTCTAAATTCATTTGTGGTTGTGCATGTAGTTGCATGTAACTTTAATTCTTTAATTTCACTTGATTGTCCTGGTAATGTTACTTTGTATGATAACTCAGGTTTTTGCCATTGCAAACAACTCTGCTACGGAAGATTCTTATACATGATAATTTATGTTGTTTTAAGGTACATAAAAGTCCCCTAAACTCAAATATAATTTCATAAGAAACATTAAATCTTAAATAGGAAAAAACACGATAAAGACATCTTTCGGATAAGGGAGACCATTAACATGAGGTTGTAATGGCATGCAAGGGTTTACAAGAGGACTTGGGAGGACAAAGGGAACTGGGATAGAGCATGATTGGTGTAAGATGAATATATCATTTGTAGGTTGGACTTTAGAAACAGAAATGGGACTATGATTATGTGAGACCAAATTGTAAAGAGATTCGTACAGGGCTTTTTGACTAAGGCAGTCAGGCCATGACTCATTACTATGCAACCTCAGAATAACAAGCAGCATCAAGAAGCCACTCAGGGAGACTGTTTAGGGTTGTAGCTATAAAATGTGTTTCTCCTGGATGTGGTGACTAATAATCTATTTTAAAAGTAGTTATCTATCAGTTATGAGTCTTTTTTGTATATATTACATTTTTGTATTAGTGTTAGTAATGTTTATTACATCAGCTACTCCATTGGGGAAATGGAACTTTCTACTCCTCTACAGATTTAGAATCTCAGAAATCCATAGGGATAGTTCTTCCCCACGCAATCAGTTGCCATGAATTGGAATTAACTTGATGGCAGTGAGTGCTTTGTTTTCCGCTTAAAGAAAGCTGGTCTGCAGAGAGGGAAAAAAAGTAATGCTGATATGCAGAGAGGCAGCAGCAAGAGACAAAGTATCCTTATTGGACTCTGGGAAGCTTTCTGAGTCTACTCTGCACTCTTGCTTTGGAATTTATCAATTCTTTCTTGGTAAGCCATCTTTGGGGTTTTGTTTTTGGCAAGCAAAGCGAGGCCTAACGAATATCCCGAGGCAGATTCTTAACTTTGTAGGTTCGAAACACAACTTTACTATGCTCACCAGAGCTAATTAACTTCTCAGGGACCAACAAATTAACAGGATCCATAAGAAAAGGGTATGAACATTTGAATTCCACTTTATAATCTATCAAGAGAATTAAACCTGCAAGATGAAATGGTATGAAAACTCATTGTATTTTATCATGAGAGGTGAAATACTCTCAGGAGACAAATTATCAATCATAGGCGGGTGAGTAGATAATTACAATTAGACTTTAGCAAATTTTCCTTCAAAGTAGAATAGTTGAATAAAGTTCTCTATTCATGTAATACTTCTCTTTAAAAAATAACTTGTAGTCTGTGGTAGTTACATAGTTTCATGTCAACTTGTTAAATAGGTTTTAGGGGTGGAGTCTAGCCTGTCAGTCAGGTCACAGCCTGATTGATGCCTCCTTATTGGTATGGTCTTCTGAGAATTCTGGGAACTCCTGTTTTCCTCCTGGATGAAAGGCGGGACTCACACTCTATATGCTTCAAATTCTGTTGACAAGCCACATGAACTTTTGTTGATGGCAGCCAGATCCCTGGAGCTGGAGGAACCACAAGCTGAGATGCTTCCACAAGTCTTTTCACCCACTCTCCTGTGATCTTCCTGCTTGCGGCATCAATGTGCTATGTGAGTCTGTAGAAGAATTTATGGACTAGTATTAGACTTATGGTCTAATCTTGAACTTTCGGACTTGATCTGGACTGGGCCGGGATGCTTTCTTAATATACAATTGCTCTTGGATATAAAGCTCTCTCCTGTACATGTATGAGTCTCCCTGGATTTGTTTCTCTAGTCTGCCTGGATTAACACATAGTCCTTGAACTCTAATAACGTTTTTTTTCTCTGTCTCTTGCTGCTCCCTATCTGTAGACCAGCTTTTCTTAAACCCCCAAAGCACTTACTTTCATTGAGATGATTTCAACTCATAGCAACCTATATGATAGGGTAGAACTACCCCTATGGGTCCCAAGATTTTAAATATTTATGGAACTAGACAGCCTCATCTTTCTCCTATGGAGCAACTGATGGGTTTGAACCTCTGGCCCTGTGGTTAGCAGCTCAGTGCACAGAACAGAGCTACTTTTACTTATAACTAGGAAAGTTGAACTTTCAGCCAAACCCAACACATTCAAATAGGCCAACATGTTGGGGAAGCTTCATCCAAATGTTCTAAGTCACCTGTACCTCCTGGGATTAGTTGCAATCAGCAGTGCCACAGGGCAAGCCTCCCTAAGTTGGGGATCTGGCCCTAAGTGGGTCCTTGTCAATGGAAGCATTGAATTATTCTCTTGTCCATTACTGGCAGGGAGCAGCCAGATCAGCAGCATCTTCCAGGGAGATCCAACATGTGCCTAGGAGCTCTATGACTTACAAGTGTGGAGTGACTTTGGGGGTCTCATGACCATGAATATTTCTAGAATTCCAGCCAACCATGGGCATTTCTTTCACTGTATTGCAATAGTGAGCTATTGGGATAGTGTTCATTTGATGACTTAGGGTGATTTTCAAAAATAGTAGGCAGAATCAGCTCAGAGCTCTGGGCTACCAACAGTCTATCATCTATTATTGAATTGGTATGTGTAGGCCCATTCATAGGGTCTCCTCTATGTTCAGATCATGAAGCCTTGGGTTGAGATAACCTGAAGCAGGCTGCAGGTGTCCTTTATCCTATGTGGTCCTGTACCCTGGCCCTGGTACTGGAAGCTAGCATAGTAACCCATCTCAAGTTTATGCCACAGGTCACACAATTCTTGTCTTGACCATGGTTATCTTGTCCCCAAAATTCACAGATTATAACTCTGTGAAGCCAATGGGTCCTTTGATAAATATTTTTCTTACTTCTTATAGACATAATGATGGTGGTGGAATAATTAGGAAAAGGATAACAATTATGGTTGCACAGCATGAAGAGTATAATCAATGGCATTGAATTATACAAGTAGAAGTTGTTGAATTGGAGAATGTTTTGCTGTATATATTTTTGCCACAATTAAATAAATAATTATACCAATAACAAAGAGTAGAAGGAAGAAGACACTGTTCTAAAATTTATTGTGGTAGTGATTGTACAACTTTCCTTGATATGATTAAACTACTGAAGTGTATGACATGTGGATGAAGTGCCAATAAAACTGTTAAAATAGATAAATAAGCATAATGATGCTCTTCTTTCTTTGGTTGGTCCCAGAATGGACCAGTCCATGGATATCTGTTCTATTTTCTCTATTGATGATTGTGTTACTATGAAGACAAGGTTGCTCTCAACATTTAAAGAGTCAGATTCTAGTAATGGAGTGATTAAAGTCTAGGGAGTTCAGGATGTGTTTGTTCAATGTTAATGCTATAAAATTCCAAATGCTAAAGTTAACATGACCAGAAAATGAATTATTGCTCATTTTTCCTACATTCTCTGGGTAGGATTTAAATCATCAACAAGACACAGAAACACTTGAAGGTCACTGAGAGCCAATATCCATTCTCAATATAGTGGATGTTGCAGCGATATCAGCGACTACTGAGGCCAAAGGGCTTATATTGCTTCAATCTTAGAGGTTTTAAAGAGCCAGAAATTGTAAATAATAAGATGAGGCTATGTATTCCCATAAAACCTACAGTCTCAGAGACCCAGAGGGGGCAGTTCTACTCTGTTCTATAGGGTCGTTATGAGTTGAAATTGACTCCATTGCAGTGAGAGAGAGAGAGCGAGAGTTACCTTTTACTGGCAATGGTAGTTTAAAGGGGAGCTAGTAATAGTGTCTTTTATAATAAAAAGTACAAGAAGTGTTTCTGGAAAGTAGTAAAATCCTTCAATTTATTTCTTGCACAATAAACAGCTAAGTACCTATATTCTATCGTAAAGATTTGTCAATAAATTACTCTATCTCACATAGGTACATGAAATCTTACTTTTATAACTAAATTACTACTATTACAGAAATGTCATGGGAGCCACATCTGACCTTCAGCCACATTAGTGAAAAGGTGAATTGAATTCTATGCCTGTCTGAGGACGAAACCTATGAGGTATTGGTGAGACATGCTTCCACCTGCCATCCCTCTTTATCCTAGTCTGATACCGACACTCCTTCCCATAACATTGTATTTATCTACTGGATTTGAACATTAAGTGCAATGACCACATAGGACTCACAGACAATACTCACAAATATGGGTTTATTAGGGGAGTTAAAGTTGTGTCCCTCCTGGTGTAGGGGCTAC